AACCTGGAAAAAAGAGGAAAACCTGGAAAAAAGAGGGAAACCTGGAAAAAAAGAGGGAAACCTGGAAAAAAAGAGGGAAACCTGGAATAAAAGAGGGAAACCTGGGAAAAAAAGAGGGAAACCTGGAATAAAGAGAGAAGCCTGGAATAAAAGAGAGAAACCTGGAATAAAAGGGGGGCCCTGGAATAAAGAGGAAACCTGGAATAAAAGGGGGACCCTGGAATAAAGAGGGAAACCTGGAATAAAGAGAGAAACCTGGAATAAAAGAGAGAAACCTGTAATAAAAGGGGGACCCTGGAATAAAAGAGGGAAACCTGGAATAAAAGAGGGAAACCTGGGAAAAAAAGAGGGAAACCTGGAATAAAGAGAGAAACCTGGAATAAAGAGAGAAACCTGGAATAAAAGAGAGAAACCTGGAAAAAAAGAGGGAAACCTGGAATAAAAGGGGGGCCCTGGAATAAAGAGAGAAACCTGGAATAAAGAGGGAAGCCTGGAATAAAAGAGAGAAACCTGGAATAAAAGGGGGGCCCTGGAATAAAGAGGAAACCTGGAATAAAAGGGGGACCCTGGAATAAAGAGGGAAACCTGGAATAAAGAGAGAAACCAAGAATAAAAGAGAGAAACCTGGAATAAAAGAGGGAAACCTGGAATAAAAGAGGGAAACCTGGAATAAAAGAGAGAAACCTGGAATAAAAGAGGGAAACCTGGAATAAAAGAGGGAAACCTGGAAAAAAAGAGGGAAACCTGAAATAAAGAGAGAAACCTGGAATAAAGAGGGAAGCCTGGAATAAAAGAGAGAAACCTGGAATAAAAGGGGGGCCCTGGAATAAAGAGGAAACCTGGAATAAAAGGGGGACCCTGGAATAAAGAGGGAAACCTGGAATAAAGAGAGAAACCTGGAATAAAAGAAAGAAACCTGGAATAAAAGGGGGACCCTGGAATAAAGAGAGAAACCTGGAATAAAAGAGAGAAACCTGGAATAAAAGAGGGAAACCTGGAATAAAAGAGAGAAACCTGGAATAAAAGAGGGAAACCTGGAATAAAAGAGAGAAACCTGGAATAAAAGAGGGGAACCTGGAATAAAAGAGGGAAACCTGGAATAAAAGGGGGGCCCTGGAATAAAGAGGAAACCTGGAATAAAGAGGGAAACCTGGAATAAAGAGAAAACTTGGAATAAAAAGGGAAACCTGGAATAAAAGAGGGAAACCTGGAATAAAAGGGGGGTCCTGGAATAAAGAGGAAACCTGGAATAAAAGGGGGGCCCTGGAATAAAGAGGAAACCTGGAATAAAGAGGGAAACCTGGAATAAAGAGGGACACTTGGAATAAAAGGGGGACCCTGGAATAAAGAGGAAACCTGGAATAAAGAGGGAAACCTGGAATAAAAGAAAGAAACCTGGAATAAAAGGGGGACCCTGGAATAAAGAGGAAACCTGGAATAAAAGGGGGACCCTGGAATAAAGAGGGAAACCTGGAATAAAGAGAGAAACCTGGAATAAAAGAAAGAAACCTGGAATAAAAGGGGGGCCCTGGAATAAAGAGGAAACCTGGAATAAAAGGGGGACCCTGGAATAAAGTAGGAAACCTGGAATAAAGAGAGAAACCTGGAATAAAAGAAAGAAACCTGGAATAAAAGGGGGACCCTGGAATAAAGAGAGAAACCTGGAATAAAAGAGAGAAACCTGGAATAAAAGAGGGAAACCTGGAATAAAAGAGAGAAACCTGGAATAAAAGAGGGAAACCTGGAATAAAAGAGAGAAACCTGGAATAAAAGAGGGGAACCTGGAGTAAAAGAGGGAAACCTGGAATAAAAGGGGGGCCCTGGAATAAAGAGGAAACCTGGAATAAAGAGGGAAACCTGGAATAAAAGGGGGGCCCTGGAATAAAGAGGAAACCTGGAATAAAGAGGGAAACCTGGAATAAAGAGAAAACTTGGAATAAAAAGGGAAACCTGGAATAAAAGAGGGAAACCTGGAATAAAGGGGGGGTCCTGGAATAAAGAGGAAACCTGGAATAAAAGGGGGGCCCTGGAATAAAGAGGAAACCTGGAATAAAAGGGGGGCCCTGGAATAAAGAGGAAACCTGGAATAAAGAGGGAAACCTGGAATAAAGAGGGACACTTGGAATAAAAGGGGGACCCTGGAATAAAGAGGAAACCTGGAATAAAGAGGAAACCTGGAATAAAGAGGGAAACCTGGAATAAAAGGGGGGCCCTGGAATAAAGAGGAAACCTGGAATAAAGAGGGAAACCTGGAATAAAGAGAAAACTTGGAATAAAAAGGGAAACCTGGAATAAAAGGGGGGTCCTGGAATAAAGAGGAAACCTGGAATAAAAGGGGGGCCCTGGAATAAAGAGGAAACCTGGAATAAAGAGGGAAACCTGGAATAAAGAGGGACACTTGGAATAAAAGGGGGACCCTGGAATAAAGAGAAAACTTGGAATAAAGAGGGAAACCTGGAATAAAAGAGGGAAACCTGGAATAAAAGGGGGGCCCTGGAATAAAGAGGAAACCTGGAATAAAGAGGGAAACCTGGAATAAAGAGGGACACTTGGAATAAAAGGGGGACCCTGGAATAAAGAGAAAACTTGGAATAAAAAGGGAAACCTGGAATAAAAGGGGGGCCCTGGAATAAAGAGGAAACCTGGAATAAAGAGGGAAACCTGGAATAAAGAGGAAACCTGGAATAAAAGGGGGACCCTGGAATAAAAGAGAGAAACCTGGAATAAAAGAGAGAAACCTGGAATAAAAATGTGAAAATTGTGGGACTTTCTGGGTCCTGGAAAGTGTTTTAGACTGAAGTCATTGGATCAGAGGAGGGGTGAGAATTCATCCTCTCTCTGCATGTTGATGCTTCCATCTATTTAATAATAACTTTTTATTCTGGTGGTTTCTGTATTTTTTACGATCCAGAGGGGAAATATGACGACTCATCCTTACTGTTGCATTTTTCCCTCCCTCTCTCTGCCTCCAAGTTGTGTTTCTTGGAGGGTTTTAGTCTCTAAGCTCTCCTTTTTTCCTCCTTCTTATTGAGCTTAAAATAACCGGAGTCAAAGCCCCCCTCGGATTCAGCCGAGGCGCCGGGAATCCGTGTCACAGGGAAGATGATGGAGGTGGCAGCTGCTAAAAACAGATCAGCCCCGTCTTTTTGCTGACTGACTGCAGCTTTGCCAATCTCAGGAGAAATAAGGCGCTTTTCTCGCCGTCATTTAACCAAAATAAATCTGTGAGGAGAAAAAAAGAAACCTTGGAAGGAGGGATTGGGATGTTTTTTATTCAAATCACTCATACGCAGCAGGTCCAAAAGATGTTTCTTTATTAGAATCATCAGAATTCACTTTGCAGGGTTACAACTGGAAAACATCTCGATGCGTCGGCTGTTTTTACAAATGAAAAAGCATCTTATTAACCAGCCAAGATTCCGTGTAATTAGAGAGAAGATGGAGGGAAATCTCCTCAGTTTGTGCTGACTTCATCGTGGTAAACATCTTTTAGAGAAATTATACTAAACATAAAAAGGAGGGGGAAAGAAACCCTCAGGATCCCCTTACATTTGATTAACGCCAAACTCTCTCATAACTGGAGTGCAATATTAAGTTATTCGCAAACCTTCAGATATTTTTGAACCTTTTTTACCACCATACGCTATCGGATGTCCTCAGCTCAAATAAAGGAACCCGTTTACGAGTGCACATCATGCTGAAATATGTTTATATCAGTGATCAAAGAGAAACACAGACAAAATAAAAATAAAATCAGTTCAAATATCTCCTGATAACGTTTCTACTCCACAAACAGCTTACATGACATTAGTCCTTTATTAGTTTCAATACAGTAGAGTTAATGCTCCTCTTCCTCATCTTCCTGCAGGATAAACTGCTTTGTGCTCAAACGATCCGCCGCTAACAGTCTTATATTTGATCCACCTGCAAAGCTTGGTACAGTACATGATTTCTGGAAATAAAAGCAAGAAAGGAAGCGTACCTTCAGGTTATTTGGAACAATTTCATTTAAAAACTGAATTCTGACGCTTTGTTGACATTCATCCCAGATTCTCGCCCCTCACTGCTTGTTATTTCATTTGTTTTGACAGTTTAAAAACTGACCTGTTCATTATGGAGTGAATTTTACTGCAAGAATTTTGCAAGCAGATAAGAGTTGGAAATGGAAATTTGAAAAAAATCAACCCAGGAGTGAAACTTAAATATACGGAAGAGGATTAGGGACACTGAAAAAAAAACTGATTTTTTACATTTTTATTTCAGTTTAACATGGAAAAAATGTCAGAATTCTTAGATTAAAGTCAGAATTCTGAGAAAAAAGTCAGAATTCTGACTTTTTTCCAAAACTAAACTGAAATTAAATTTAAAAAAAAAGTTACCTTTTTATTTTTTCCCCAGTGGCCCTAATTCTCTTCTATATAAATAACTTCTAATCAATCAAAATTGTTTTAGAATAACTTTGCTTTTTTCTTAGATTTTCTTTTTTTATAAATATTTTTTATTTTATTTTTAATGCTTTAATTTTCTATTTATTCACGTTTCATCATTACATAACTATATATTTTTTCTTTTTTTCCAAAAGATTTGCAAAAATTGTGTTTTATAGATCAGATTACTTCATAGCAACAACATTTTTATGTATCAAGAGCAACTGCTTGCATTGGTTTAAAGTGTAGAGAAGGTTCTCAGTAAGTGTAATGTGAGGAAAATACAATTTGTACAAATTTGAAAAGTTAAAATTTGAAAAGTAGCAAAGTTACTTTTTTTTTCTCGATTTTTGATTTTTTTTTATTTCCATTTACGAAACTCTTCTCTTGCAACAATAGTGGAACAAAGTTCACTCCATAGAACGGAGGCAGAAGGGCTCAGGGGGGGTTTTAGTTTTGATGATGCTGGAGCAGAACCACTACAGAGGAAGCCTGATGACCCCCCTGCAAAGAAAATAAAAAGGTTCCTGGGTGTTTAGTAGTTTTGGTTGTAAACTGGCGCCGCTCAGCGCGGTTCCTCTGAGCAGAACATGGAGTCCCTCTCAGACCTCATCGCTGTATGGCTTCTAGGGGAGGGTCTGATGGAGGGGGTGGGGGAACAGAGAGGAAGGCCTTTTGATTGTTTCCCTCAGATGGTTCAGGCGTGTGCTTCATCAGGTCAGCCGCCTCCTCCCTTTTGTCCCACCTCATCCTCTGGGCAGACCCCCCCCCCAGCTGCTCTCACTTCTCCATCAGGGACAGCTGGATGATCCGCTGAAGCTCCTCCTCCTCCCGCCGCCGCCGCAGGTCCGCCTCTTCCTGCTCCCGGGCAGAGATCTCCATGGCGATGCGCAGCTGCTCGTTGTAGGTGCAGGTGTGCGGCTGCTTCTTGGAGGGGGTGGAGCTGAGACTGGAGGGGGGGCGGGGCTTGTGCTGGGGCGTCCTGAGGAACATGAAAACCTGGTCAGCGTTAGAGACCCTAAAGTAGAGCGATATCGCTCGGTGTGGTACCGATCCGGCACAAACTTATCCTGTATCACCAATAAAAATAATAATACTACGTTATTATTAAGTTCATTTTATTATCTTTATATATATATATATATATATATATATATATATAAAGAAATAAAGTTTTAAGTCGCATCAAACCTCTTACCTTTTAGATGTTTTTTCTTGTGAATATTTTGATAAAATCGAGGACAATATGTCTGTTTAAAGGTGACTACTTTTATAATATGGTATAAATATGATAAACAGAAGCTAAAATTAAAAATTAAAAAAAATATAAAACATAATGTGAGAGCAAATCAAAACAAAACAGAGTTGAGAAACTGGAATACAAAAATAAAATTCAAATATTTTCTTCACAATTATAGTTGTTTACTGGATTGTGCTTTAAGAAAGTGTAAAAAAAAAAACATAAAAAATGTATATCTTCTCTTTTTAAATTAAAAAATGTACTGCTCTTACTAAGCAAAACATTAAAAACACCCATCAGTAAGTTTTTAGATATAAAATGGTCAATAATGTTCTTTATGTAAATTAGTCTGTTGGGTCAAAGCGGCCGGTGCTGGAATTCTATTTAGGCTCAAAAAGGAAAAACTAAACACTTTCAGGACGGATGATCCGTTTAACCTCATTCCATCAGGATCTAATGTTCTTTTTTTAAGGTTTTCTTTTGGAGGCAAATAAAAGGTTTATGCACCTTTAACATTCAAATCAATAATTTGCATGGTTTGCATTTAATATCAAATTTCGAGTGTTTTTAAATACTATTTAATTTATTTTTCTTATTTCTGCATCAATTCGTTTAAAAATAATATTCATTTAGTAAATAATATTTACACATCTAATGCTTGTTTTTCTTATTCCATTTATCCCTTTTAGTTTATCCTTTTATTTAATCAATAAAGCAGTTTTATCATTTACAGGAATAAAGTCACTTAAGATCTTTGAGACTTGGTGTTTTTATTTTTGCTTTTTTAAAACCTGTCTGCTCATTTAGCTGTTAACAAACACCTGCATCTGTTAGATTTTTAGTATTTCTGTTCATTTTCCTCCCGTCTTTCACGTTCTGCTGAGAACAAAGTGCAGTTTTAACTGCAGCTCCTCAGATTCACCCTGTTTGTTGATGGAAACACCTCCTACTTCCTGTTTTGTTTCGCTCTGCAGTTGACAGTTTGTCACACAAACGATCGATATCCATCGCCAACTCATCATACTTAATCTGACCTTACAGAAGTGTAATTTTCAGAGTTATCACTGGTTTTCATTAGAGCATCAACAGACAACATCTTCCTGGAGGTCAGAGGAGCTTAAAGCATCAAACCTCAACAAGTTCTCCAAAGAGGAACCATCAGACGCTTTGAGACGCTCGGTGATCATCTCTAACCAGCTGATATTCTGTCCTCCTTTTGTTTCTCCTCTCCCTGCCTTCCTCAGACTTTTCTCCATATATTTGTTGTAACATGACTCCTTCCTCAGTAAAGGAGACGTAAAAAGCTGCACTGAGCGCCTGAGATGTCCTCAGATTCTTATTGTTCTGGTAGAAACTGGATATGAACAGATGAGTAAAGGAGAGAAACCATCTCACATCCTTTCAATCCTAGATCAGATAACGTCTAAAAAGATGAGAGAAATCATCTTTTTATTCAAGATTTCCCAAACTTAGGGCTAAATCTGATAAATTCTAATAAATAGAACAAAACCATAATTTGTTTATGGATTTATTGATTTTCTGACTTCTATTTCTAATCGGTAAACATATGTAAAACAAATAAGATGATGATTTTATTAAATGACAGTGTGTAACTTTTAGCCACCGGGGGCACTAGACCTGCAACTTTGAAGTGTAGCGATTCTGAACAGGTAGCATCGCTAAATGAACCAGTCTACCTGCGTTTTCTAATCTCATATCAAACCACTTAAAGTCACTAAGTTCCTGGTAAATTTAAGACCAAGTTCTAGAATCTAGATTAAATCCTACATCAATTCAATTCAATTCAATTTGTTACCTGAGTGAAGTTGGCCCCCCCACCTTCTTCAAATCAGACAAAATTAAACGTTTGTGCTGGTTTGTGCAGCAAAAATTTTCGTTTGTGCCGCAAGCATTTTAAAGATATAAAGAAATATTTCTAGAAGAAATTAATGAAAATGTAAAGGTCAAAAGGTCAACCAGCCCCCCCACCTCCTTCAAATGAGGCAAAATTGGTGTCAATTAACTCGGCTCCGTTTGTGCAGCAAAAATTTTTGTTTGTGCCGCTGTCATTTTTTTTACAGGTTAAAATGATATAATCACAGGTTAGCAACTTATAATTTATATGAAATTCAGAGTTTCCGTTCGGTTCGACTGTCTCGGTTCCATTCGCGTGTGTTGCGTTCGGTTCATGCGCTGCTCCTTTTTCTCATAGGCGAAGCGTTTACACTCCAGAGCAGAAGGTGGCGCTACTGTGACCAAAGCCAACCACCAGTAGTAAACAAGAAGAAGAAGAAGCGAAGCAGCGTAGCCGGGTGTAGCAGAAAAAAATCAGTTGTTATGGAGAATTGTGTGGGTATGGCGAGTGGGAAAGAACAGGAGTTGGAAGACGCGCCAGCAGCACTTTATAGGTCTGCTGTATGGGACCACTTTGCATTTAGAGTGACCTACGATGACGGCGGAAAGAAACTTGTGGATAAAAGTGCAACAGTGTGCAAGCATTGTGCAACACGTTTTGTTTATGCTAACAGCAACATGACCAACATGTCAGGCTAACCCCGAAATCCCTCATACTCCGTCAGCGCTCCGCCCCGCTGCGCTCCAGACCGGCTGCACAAAGCAAAGCCTACAGCCCCCACTATGGCTCCCGTCAGCTCCGCTCTGAGTTCCTTGGAGATGGTAGAGGGCATGCGCCAGATGATTAAATGATCCAGGGTTTCCGCGGATCATTAAAAATAATTACAATTCATTAATTTTTTTGGATTTTTTCATTAATTAATTATTAATTTTCATTAATAAATTTTAATTAATTGATTGAAAGAAAGTTGTGGATAAAAACAGTGTGCGAGCATTGTGCAACACGTTTTGTTTATGCTAAAAGCAACATGACCAACATGTCAGGCTAACCCTGAAATCCCACATAATCCGTCAGCGTCCGCTGTGGCTCAGTCCCCTCCGCCTTGGAGATGGTAGAGAGCATGCGCCAGATGATTAAATTCAAAGCAGCAAAACATGCGGAAATGATCCAGGGTGTCCGCAGATCATTAAAAATAATTACAATTCATTATTTTTTTGGATTTTTTAATTAATTTCATAAATTTTTGTGGGATTTCGAACTAGCAATGAACATATATTGAACCCAACCGAAAACTGTGACCACGAAACCGTGAGACTCGACACTAAAAAAGGTAACGGCGTTAGTAACACTTTCAACGCCTTTACTCCCATCACTGCATCTCAAAGCACTTTCCAGTTCACCAGATCATCCAGTCAGATTAGTTCAAAGTTTTCTATCTAAGGAAAACCAGCTGATTGCATTCACTCATTGACTCAAAGGCAATCCCTCACCCTAAGCATGCTTGTAGCGACAGTGGAGAGGAAAAACTCCCTTTTAACAAATAGAAACCTGAGTTTTGGAAAGAAATCGATCTTTTATCTTTTCGCACACAAAGATGCTTTAAAAATGTTCTAAACTACACAGAATGAGGTCATGATGCAAACCTAAAGTTTGAGTCATTTCAAAAACGCAGAACATTAAACAAATTGCTAATCCTCTGTTCAATGAAAACAGAGTAACAACAGGTTAAAGGGGGGAGAAGGAAAGCACAGCTGCCCTGTTCTCAAACAGGAACGTCTGATAAGACAATGCAGGAAACACTCATCCATCTCTTCCCCCCCAGCAGGACAGAGAGGAGAAGCAGGATGGATAAGATAATAGAGAACGGGAGGAGAGCTGGAGAATAGAGGATGTGAGTCAAAGATGGAAGGAAGGAAGAGGGGGTTGAAAATATACAATGGAGGTTTGGCAGATAGTAGAGGAACAAAAAACATGAGAGAGGAGAGGATGTGAGAGGAACGCAGGATATTTTACCTTCATGCTGACAGTCATGGAGCTAAACGTAGGTTTGTTTTTTTAAGGGACTTTGGTTGTTTTTCTAACACTAGCAGTCTGTCCTGTTCATGGTTTATTATTCAGGGAAGCTCTGATTAGTTTCTGTGGCTCCTGTTATAACAGGGCTTCTGTGTTGAACTGAAAGATGCAGACAGTGTTTAACTGTTACGTGTTAGAACCACGAAACTGAAGATGTTGGAAATCTGAAATAAATAAATGAATGAAAATTACCCCTCTGTAGTTTTTCAAAGCAGATTTGGTTTAAAAATTCATATTTGTGTCACAGAAGGTAAATAAATCCCCGTAAAGAGGATTGTACTGTAGGGGCAGGAAGCAACTTCTCTAAAATGACGACACAACGAAAATCTGTTCCAATGAGAATTTAATAAAGTTAAAATAGAAATCACTAACTTTAACTTTATATGTTATTATTAGGGTTCGCCCTCAGAGAAAGGCGTAAACTGAAGGTATTAAATTAGCTTTAGGTATTAAGTCTGTCATACACGCGCCGCTTTGTTTTAAAAATATATAAATATTAAAAAATATAACAGCGGATGTCTGGGGGACAGTGATTGGCCTACATGTTCTGAATGCTGGCGTACCTTAAAGGAATAGTACACCCAAAACATGATTAGCCTTCATTTTCTACTCACCCCCATGCTGAACAACACTCTGGAGTACTTTTTTGATATCTCAAATGCATCTAGAGATCTGGGAGGCTTCTTGCTGTCTGCTGACATTCAAATAATGGAGGTCTATGGTGCCCGAGACAGAAAGGTCCATAAAAGTCCACAAAAAACGTGTCAATATTCCTCCATACTGCTCGTCCAATGTATTCCAAGTGTCCTGAGTG